TTAAACAAAGTGATTAAACTGGTCTGGGGAAGATTTTGTGACGTGGCGTTGCCAGGGTCGACGCATTAGCATGTACCCATCTGTATCTATCCTTCAGGCATCCTGGGGAATAGACAGTAACCTTTTGGCACATCTTTGCAAAAAAAAAAAAAAAAACATACAACAACTGCAACTTTTACGTGTGCGTGACAATAGAACCAGCAGGATTTCCGGCATTCAGACGGTTTATTCAGGCTGACAGCACAGCTCCTCAGGCCAGTTCTCCAAGACGTTTTGCTGTGACAGTGAAGGGGATTGATATGAAACGACAAATGTCTCCACCACAGCCGCCATCCACAGAGAAGCGACTCCGGTGACAGAATTTTCTTTTTAACTTCGTGAGTCCAGAGGCAGACCTGAAAGCGCTCCAATTACTGCAGTCGCTGGAAAACAGCCAGTGCAGATGTACACATGTAAAAGTGTGTTTACCACCTCTGAGGTAATTGCTCTGCGGAAAGCAGTGCATTACAGCACCGCCACGCTCTTCCTAAGTTCACATCAACTGCTCCGTTAATCCCACAGCGAGCAGGGATGAGTGGCACACAGCCATTTCAGAGAAGCTGGTTTTAACCACATGTGCTTTTTTTTTTTAAATGCCTTATTCAAACAGCAGAGCAAGCATTAGCTCATACAGTAATGTATGTGCTCAAAATGCAATAAACAGCTTTTTTTTATAATAAAAAAAAAAGCATCCATGCTTCAGAGGAGCGCTAGAAGCCACAGCTCTCCGTTGAGACTTTTGAAGGGAGTCTGGATCATCATTCGTGCTATTTAAAGCCAAAAGAATCTACTTAATCCCCAGCCTACATAAAGTTTTGCAGCATCAGAAGTGAAATGTTATGAGACTTTTTGTTTTAAATGCTTCTCCTAAGAAAAAGGAAGGAAAAAATCCCTCACATCGCTTTAAGGTTAAGATTAAAGATTAAAATACAAGCGACTTATTGTGGAAGGAAGACTGTGACTAGGAGGAAACACGTATATGCCTCCAAGGACTATTGTCAGATTGATGATAACTGTACCATTGTGTGTACTTTGTAAGTCGCTTTGGATAAAAGCATCTGCTAAATGCACACACATAAACAACACATAAACAGGACCACAGATTCAGAAAATCATTCAGGGCTTCCTTTTAAAGCAAAAAGAAAATGAGCACACATGCTTGTTTCCACAGTACACTCAGCAAATACTGCTGCAAAGCTTCTTATTAAGATCCAAAACCAACTGTGGATTTTGTCTTCAATCTGAGGAGAAGCTGCGTGTTTTTGCCTCCGGAATATCTGAGCTTGAGTCTTTTTTCCTGTTATTTCCAACATTGCTGTGTCCTCTTCACAGTAATTTGTGACAGCTGCCGTGCGTATTATGAAATAAGCACGGCAGGTCTTATGAAATAATACCTCAGCCCTCTTGGGGCTTTACTTAATCATACCTCAAGAGAATCCGTCGTCTCTCATGAAATGTGTTGGTTTGAGCTATAAAAGGGCTTCAAAATGGAACCGTCCTCTCACGTCTGAAAACGCGGCGTTGCGGTCACAGAGTTTGCTTGAGGCTGGCCCCAAGGCTGGATGGTAAGTGAATGTCTGGCGTTCCCCCTGTTGGGTATTTGTAACAACAGTAAAAGGCTTTCAGCTCGGTTGTAGAGCATCTCTGACCAGTTGAGCCACTTGTGACCTGAAACTGCACCCTAAATGATCGACAAAGTCTCTTTATTCAGCTGAAAAAACGGAGCCGAGCCAGCATCACAGACTAATGATGCTTCCTAACCTACACTGTGATGAGAATACATCTATACAAACGACTTAAAGATCTATTAAGAACAAATATATTTGTTACACAACATGGTTTTATCCATTGGAGGGAGGTTAGCTTTCTGCCTTGTAAGTCTTTTATGTGAGGATAATCTGAAACCCTCTGGATGATCTAAGTCATCGTATTGGAAAACTAAGCATGAAGCAGCTCTGAGAGAAACAGAAGCTTTGTTCATTTAGGGCTTTTTACCCTGATCTTGAATGCTCTATTTTAATCTTCTCAACAGCAAATGGTAGTGAGTACACAGAAACCACCACAGAACAATGGAACAAAAAGATTATGAACTAGGTTTAAGCAACCACAAAAATCAGAATTGGAATCCAAAATAAAAATGGATCACTCAGATATCTAGAGAAAAAAAAAAGGGAATGCTTTATTCTTCGGATAAGAAAACTATAAAGTGAGTTAATTTATTCATTGTTATCATAATTCATCATAGTTTGGCACTGTGAATGATCAAGGCTTCGAACTAACTAAATAACCCATGGTACTATTCTGTGTAACAGGAAAACTGAAGAAGACTGAATATTCAACAGAATGTTCATTCAACAGAATGCAACTACCCTCTTCTGTTCCAGCTGCACAAATGGCCGACAATATGCGCACAACTAATGTGGATTAAACAAAACATACAAGTACAATTTAATAGAAATCTAGCTATCAGTAAAGTTTTTATTTTTTATTTTACACTGTCAGCTATTAGATGTTGGGCATGGCTTGTAAAGTTAAACTACCTATATAGTTTATTATTAAATGATGAATAAAATACGTATATGCCATATTCATTCATTCATCTTTTATCTTATTTTGGTTTATTTGTTCTCTGGGGGTGGTGCTTAAGATTGTCACCACTTAGGAGGAATCTTTCTAGCTGGACCCTGCCTTTTGGTACAATAGCAACTGGTATGTGCTGAATTGGATTAAATGTTTTACACACATGAGAATGATATTGATTTTCAATTTAAACCCTTGGCAAGAGAGAAAATAAGCCTATTTCCCTTCCCTACAAGTGTGAGTCTGAACAGCAGCTCTGATCTCTGTGACAGCCCAGAGATGATTCACTCCCTCTCATGTCTGGGACTTTTATGTGACCATCTTAGATTAGGAATTGTCTTTTTCGATTCACGCCAAAGAATAAATATTTCCACATAAAATGCCCTCCCATCAGAATGCAAAGATCGAGAAGTCACAGAGAAGCACGGTTATTATAGCCTGCAGCTGCACGGCCATGTGTCAGTTTTAACTGAGCATCCTGGCGGAGGTTTAATTTCCCACTTTCTGCTGGAGGCTTGTTCACAAGAGGCAAGATGGTATTTACTCAGTAAACCACAGCGCCTGATTGGAGAGCGTCAGGAAATCGACACAAATTCTGATCAGAAGATGCGTGGCGGTAGAGACAGCCGAACAGAACTTTGTCGTTTCTGAGATGCTGAAGTTTAGTGAACATAAAGAGCGACTTAAAAATCCATTGTGGAACCGACTCCCAGCACAGTGACTGTATGCAGCAATAATTACATCTCCAGGGAGTGCTCCAGTAGATGTGCATGCATGAAGATAGGCCCCACTCAGGAGGGAGGCCTAATTTGATCTGAATAAACCGTTAATATAAGCCTCTTCTCAGTAAAACCTGTCATTTTCACAGGCTCAGAGAGATAAATAAAGCTAGGAAAGCAGGATATATATATATATATATATATACACATATATATATAACGTAACATATATATAACGTATACTATAACGTATACTTCAAGACCTTTTTCCTTATAGGATACCTAAATGCTGACCTATTTATAATTTGGATTTTTCTTTCTTACTTTTGCTGTGCTTCTTACCGTGCTTCTTCTTACTGCAGGTATGAGCCATATAGATCTGTGGATCACAGTTTACCTGCAAACCAGCTCTGCAGAGGACCTTAGATAAAGGGGTCAGAGTGATTCGTAAACAAGCATTTCATAAACATTCGAAGGATACATCCTGTTCAATCCGGTTCTTTAGAGTCCCTATCATGTTGCCCCTGGTATAGAATTGAGTTTACATCTCAGCACCGTGTTACATTATTGCATAAAACCTTGATTGTGAGAAGAGCACAGTGAAGCCTTGAATTAAAAACCTTTCAACAATGAATGAGTGGCACACAACAGAGTCAGTGGGTGGGTTGTAATTAAAACATTCCTAGACTCTGTGTGTTATGCATTCTCCTTTTGCTTGTGTTGAAGAGATAGAGAGAGAGAGAGAGGCAGATAGATCTGTGTTGAAATAACCCGTAGGCTTTGACAAAAATTAGGTCGACAGTAAAGGATGTAGCTGTGAGAATCAAGTATTTCAACACTCTTCTTTCTGTGGACAGCATGAGACAACAAGGAAAAAAGAGCAGTTGCAAATGTCACATCACAGGAGGGACCGTGAGGCAACAACAACACGGAGAAAAAATGTCAGAAACCAATATGACATCATCTTTCCATGCAACATGCAGATGACACCAGTAAGTCTGACAAGCCGAGGTTACTAGATATCTGGATGTCAACCAAATATAAAAATGTTTAGTAAATGTGATATTTTTTTATGTAAAAAAAATAAACTAGTGAACCAAAGTCAATTTCATTGTTCCACATAGGAAAGAGTAGATGCATTAAGTTACAGTTGGAACAATAGGAGAATACATGTGAGATATTAGTGATTTCTAAAGAGTAAAAATACTAATTGGATTCTAAGAGTGCTTGACAATTCTGAGGTTAAAATGGAATGTGTTAATAAACGCACATTAGGCAGGCTGAAATTATTTTTGTAATGAAAAAACAGTGGGACGTGTTTTCTAAATGAAGGCATTTAAACGCGTTCAGCGTCATTACAATTTCCCTCATAAAGTCCCGGGTATACCGGATATTGCAACGACTTTTTCTTTTCAAACAAAAATTATACGCGCCGATGTACGCGTAATGCATACATTATCGGTGACGACCACGTTTGCCTGCAAATCATTTAAAGGCTAACTTAGTGCGCCCATAGGGCTTTTGTTAATGTACATGTAAAGACAAACCAACGACGCTCACAGATGTCTTTTTTTTCTTTTTTAGCACAAAACTGCAGTTTATTTTGAAAGGGCAGCCGGAAACAGTACGTTAATCTTCCCCTCACCTTGACGACGGTACATTGACCCACTTTCGCCGAGCGCCGGTGTTGGTTTGAATTGGCGGCGCGCGGGGGGACCGTTTAGTTCAGGTGGAGGAGCCCACATTCTCTCGTGCCCCGGCCGTGCGCGCCTAAAAATGCTGGAAACCGAGTTGGCACTCACGCAATGAATCCCGCCAACGAGACCAGAGCCGGGAGAAGTACGGAACACTATATTTTCGCGGCCGGGACGTACAAACTTCTCGCCTTTACCATCGGAACCATCGGGGTGTTCGGCTTCTGTAATAACGTGGTGGTCATCGTGCTCTACTGTAAATTCAAGAAGCTTCGCACGCCGACCAATTTGCTGCTCGTCAACATAAGTTTGAGTGATTTTCTGGTGTCCGTCATCGGGATAAACTTTACCTTTGCTTCGTGCGTCAAAGGCAGGTGGATATGGGGCCAGGCGACCTGCGTCTGGGACGGTTTCAGCAACAGCCTGTTCGGTGAGAGAAACATAACGAGCTGAATATCCGTTTAGACGGAACCTGGAGCCGAATAGCAGGCTGCTGTTTAGTCATTTGTGCCGAGCAAACCTGTTGGAAGTTCCGTTCTAATAGGAAATTGGTGTCGTTTTTATTTCTCCTTTTTACCTCTATTTTCGATTAATTAGAATTTAAATTTTTTTTTGTGGAAACATTAGAGCTTGAATTTAGGTGTTTGTTTTTTGTTTTTTTCGTCTGAGAATACGACGAATGTATTCCTTTTCAATTCTGTAGAGGTCAGAAATGTGCTATTCCTACCCACAGAGAGCTATTTATTAAAAAAAAAAATTGTTTTAATTATATTTGAATATATATATATATATATCATGATAAAAAGTATTTTCAAAAGATTTCTTTACCCCTGAAAGCTGTCTTCACTGTAAATTCTAGGTGGCGTTGAAATAGAGAGCGGTTTAACCCTCTTGTGTCCCCTAAGATGAGGCGCATATCACATCTCACCCACTTAGAAGCCTCAGTAGTTTATTTCTGCCTGCTTCTTTGCTGCTTGTGTGGCTCCCCCGTGCAGGCAGACCCCGCCGGCCCCGGCGTGTTCGTGCTGAGGTGTCTTTTGTCACCTCGGCTTGTGACTGCTGCTGTGACACGGTTGTCCGTTTATCAGCAGCCCCAGTGTATTTGGCAGTGAAGTGTGAAGGAGTGCTGGGGGGGTTTAGGGGGTTGGGGTGGGGGGGATTGGTAGACCAGGTGCCTCTACTGTAGGTGCCACCATGAAAGGAGGGTTTCCACGCGGTAACGAGCTCATTAGGAGAAGGCCCGGGAGGCCTCCGCCCTCTTTCCCATCAAACTGAACAAAAAGAAGTGGTCCTCCACCACCGTCCTTTAGCTGACATTGTCCTCCGGGATGTGAGGAGCACGTCTGCCTGCAACTGTCAGTGTGGAGGAGTACTGCAGAAGCGCCATGGTCGACGTTTTTCAAATGGGAATCGCACCTCTGAAGCATTTATTTAGTTCTTTATTTCACCTTCCAAGTCTTAACGAAGGTGTTTTATCGTGTGGAGGTCTGATTCCCTTGCCGAGCTGAAACGGTTCCCCCTCTGCTTTGACCCACTCTCAGAAGATCAGAGCGATCACCCCCCCCCTCCCCGACCGTTTACTTACAATGCGACGGCCCTGTGTGACATCACGACATCCTCTTGAGTTACATTCTTACACGTGAGAGTCCAAGGTCACACGGATGGGCCTGTGGCGATTGGACGCCATTACTGGATGCTGCCCTGATTGTGAGCTGAGCGTGGAAACCGAAGTGCACACAAAAAAAAAGCAAAAGAAAAGAACATACATGTTCTCTCGTCCTCTGAGTGCAATGGTGCCGTAGGACGCTGGTGACAGGGACCCTGCGGGGGCTGCAGTTGCATCTGGAATAGGCTTTTAAGCTCCGATACACGGACGTGCGGCTTTTGGAGGTGAACTATGTAGATGTGCTTATGTGATGTCCCTGGCTTAGACTTTACATAAAAGTGGGAGTTTATCCTTAAGCAGGAAGTAAACATAAGAGCTGCAACGGTGTGCCGACAGATAGCAAACTCTGCATCACTCTGTGTGGGGAAAAAACTGACGGCGTGGCGCAGATTAGGGTCTTAGAGCTTTGTTTGTGCTGGGAGGTGGGAGTGGAGAGTCGCTTTCTCTGAGCTTTTCAAGGCTTCGGACTGAAATGATGGAATGTGATGTTCAGAATTCTGTTTACACGGTGTTGTGATCAGACTCAGTCCAAAGAGACGGCGAGTAGCCAATGACCCAGATCCTTCAGCCAGCGCTCCGCATTACTCAGCGTGCTTGTCTCTCTCTCTCTCTCTCTCGCTCTCCCCCCGCCAGGCATTGTCTCCATCATGACTTTGGCCGCCCTGGCCTATGAGCGCTACATCCGGGTGGTCCACGCCCAGGTGGTGGACTTCCCGTGGGCGTGGCGGGCGATCGGCCACATTTGGCTGTACTCGCTGGTGTGGACGGGGGCCCCTCTGCTGGGATGGAACCGCTACACTTTGGAGATCCACCAGCTGGGCTGCTCCCTGGACTGGGCGTCCAAAGACCCAAACGACGCCTCCTTCATTCTCTTCTTCCTCCTGGCGTGTTTCTTTGTTCCAGTGGGTATCATGATCTACTGCTATGGGAACATCCTCTACACAGTACGGATGGTAAGGATGCTGATTTGCTCTCCTCTTATGTATGTCTGTTGAGTAAAACAGTAAGAAGTTATACATTTTTTTTTCAAATGAGTGCGAGAGTTTACAATTAAATTATATACCTTACACCCCCCCCCCTACTGATACCTGGATGGAACAGGAAATCATGCACACACTGTTAACTGTGAGAGCCAGCTGAAAGTTCCTTTGATTGTAACATAGCACAAATTAATTCATAGTGCACCATCTGTCCAATAGGCTGCCGGGTAAAAGGTAAGTAAAGAATATAGGGACATCCAAGCCCTGGAAAGCAATATTTTACTCACGAAAGCACATTGCAGATGCCGGAAATGAGCTGCCAAGCTATTACACGAAAAATTGTCAGCTCTGCTTCAATTTAAAGTCAGTAATTTGGCTCACATCAATTGGTATGCTGGCATCAAAAAGCTACAACATGTTGCTACTTGTTTAGTTTAATTGGAAAAAGATCAGGGACATGAAGATGCATAGGAGATGCAGAGTCTCTCAGCGCAAAAAGAAAAAAAAAAGCAAGCCTTTGTTCTCAAAGAGCTGCGTTCGGAAGATGTTCGGGTTCACAAACTTTTGCCTTTTAAAAATCCAAATTCGAATTTCCTTATTTAGTCAGAAAACTGATGTGCATTGAATAGTTTTCTAAATTTTTGTCTTTTTCTAAGCTTTTGGTCTCAATGGACATTTGGCACACCGTGGCTGAGATACAAAGTACACTTTGTTTATTATGTCAGAAAAACCTGTGACACATTAGAACAGATTTCCAAAAGAAAGAGTTGAGGTTAAGGTTGAATTCCTAGCTGGGAATTCAACTTAAACTTTTGACGACCATTAAAAAAATATAGGAAAGTTCCCCAAATGATTGATATTTCCGCAAAATGAAAATTATGCACTGGTTATTTTTTCAAACTTTATCGTGGTACTGACACATTTAACAAACAGAAAAAGTACTAAAAGCAATCTTTTTTTTATTTAGAACTAATTTGAAAGTTTCAAGAAACGAGCTAAAGTATTCAGGGCAGCACCTTCCTTGAAATGTGCTTTCATGGCAAAGCATTCAAAGAAAATTAAATATAAATGTGTTGTGAGGATTTAAAAGATGTCTCTGAACCAAATGCTGGCGCTCCTTCATTTTTAAGCAGAGAGCAACATTAAGAAGAAAAAGTTGGTCTGGAGCCCGTGTTTGTACACATGAGCTGGCACTTATTTTGTTTCAGGACTTCCACTTCAGCTCACTTCCAGGTCAGGTCATCCCTCGCAGAGCACTCAAAGAACTGTTACTGCTCATGAGCTGCACGGCCTTTAATCCCGACACAAAAAACGCTTTCAGGCCTGTTTGATCTGTTTCATAGCTTTTACTTGAACAAACTTCAGCCCGGTCTGTTACATACTGCCCACTAAACAAACACTCAGACCCTTTTTCACTTTTCTCGGTACATCAGTTTTAGTTGATTATGAAGGAGATTTTATAAATGTAGAATATAATATATGCTAAATGGTTTTGTATGTTTTCAACCAATTCAACCAGTCTTTATTGTGACTTTGTAATTAAGTCAGTTGGACCCTCAGAACCAAATTACACAGAAAACATTTAAATACATCAATCACATTTTAAATATAAAGATAAATCCACTGTCCCTATATGGGGAAAACTGCCTGTTCCACAACAATGTCTAGCATTTCAAGTTATTAGGTCCTACTAAAGCCATACGTCTTGGAGAAAGCAAACATGCCCACCAAATAAAATCTTGGGTTTCACAAGTCTATATATATACATACGTAAAGATCAATACGACGTTGAGGATGTTGTCTAATGCAGTCCACTGAATAAAAACTAAACCGAAATGCAGAAGCAGTGCAAAAGAAGTGCACACTTACTGCTTCTCAAGGCTGTGCAATACATTGATTTGTATGAATAAATCTGTGGGTTTTCAAGGACAATTTGGTTTTCTTTTGAGCTTTAATATAATCCCGCTGTACTCTTTGGGCTCCTGTTGTTGAAGTTGCACGCTCCCTGAATCATTCACTTCCCACGTTGACAACCACCTGAAAGAACGCAGGGAAGATTTTGAAAATTCCTCTCGTGATACACCTTAACGGGAGAGCTCATCTCACCAGCGGAAGCTATAATTGGAATGCAGAGGACCTGTGATGGACAGCAAGGGTCAAGCTATGGCACTGAGTTAAGTTCATGCACCAAAGGGCAAGCGCAGCGTCCACAGACCCCCTGGAAAGAAGCCAGAAAAGCTAGTGAGTGAATGGTTTTTGTAGTAATAGAGAATCTCCTAATGAACTAGTTTTGTTTTTGAAGAGTCATCAGAATGTGACCTCTTTCTAACCTCTTCCAATATTCGGAAGAAAAGTTTGAAGATGTCATCGTTTTAGATTCAAATAAGGGCAATGTTTTAAACTGGTTTGCAATTGGTTGAAAATAAGTTGGTTATTTTTATGTTATTTTTTTGTTTCTTTTAACATGTTTTCTCAGCTTGTAATTGCAGCCCCCACAGGGACACTGCTAGGCATTTTCCAAACAATTAGATATCCATCAATCTACTGTAAGATAAATGTTTATCCGTGTGTTAAAAAAACAGTTCCAGGCGTGGACATTTCAGGAAGTTCACGACAAGTTCAGACAGTGACACCCCTGAAGAAACTGAAAGGGTCAAAAAAACATTGCAACACCAGAAACTTCCACAAGCACAGTTTGTTTTGTGTGTCAAAGCACTTTGTAAAGCCAGTTTTTAAAGGTGCATTACAAATCAGAATTATTATTATTACACATATTTGACATCTACTTTGGTGCGCAGTAAAGTAAATCTTTGAGCCAAACGATAAAAACAGTTTTAATTAACGAGTGGTTTTGTTCTCATGCTGGATGTGCCAGAGGGATCTGTTTATGAAAGCGTCTCCATGGGAAGGGCTTTTTCTCAAACAGATGTTTAGGAAACATCCTCAGTGGAGGTGGCCGCCCAGCTTCTCCAACAGTGTTGGCTCCAGGAAACTGGAACCACAGTCTGTACCACGCTCGCTTTCCTCGTCTGAGGGGATAAAAACTCATCAGCTGGGGGCAAGGTGGTGTCTTTGGCCCATAGGTGGAGGAGCATTTTCTCTATGTAATTTGTCCTCAGACACAATGCTGGTAATGTCAGACAAGTCCCCAGATGTTTCTTCCAAATTTGACTCTTTTGTCTGACTGGCCGCTTAGTCTGAGTTTCTCCCCCTTTGACATTTATAATTGCAGTTCCTGTCCATCATTGGTGTTATTTCCTGTTTAAAAGACTGAATGAGGATGCCCTCTCCCTTCTCCTTCTAAATGAAAGCTCTCCTCAAGCTTTGCAGTAGCTAATACTTCTCATTATAGCGTTGCTTTTCATCCCAAATCCCCACACAGCAGAATCCCACAGGCTTTCATTTTCATGCACCGCAGTCCTTGACCTGCGCTGACCAAGCGTTGTCTTTTTCTCCTCTTTTATTATGGGATTTATTATAAAAAATGTCCACCGTTCTCTCTCTCCCTCACTCTCTTTCTCTATCTCTTTTTCTTCCTGGAATGAAATTGTCAGTGATAACAAACTATTGAAACGGGCAGGGGAGTCTCTTTTTAATGGTATTTACTTGAGATGTGCCATAAAGCTTAAGGAATGGATTTTTTTTCCTCACGGATCATATATCTGTTTAAACAGTCAAGTATGGAAGCCAATGAAGAAACTGGACGCTCAGTTTTCATCAGATAAGCCACACGTCTGCCTGCATCACACTTCTGAGCCTTAAATATTCACAGCCCTGCTGGAAGTGGGAGCCGCTGAGAGCTCCGAGCGCGAGCATGCAGAAAACTCCCTGAACTCAGCAGAGGCCTGAGAGGAAACCTTCAAAGAGAAGCACCTCTGAATGTTGCCTTTTTGGAGTTTAAAAAAGAAAAACTTTTTTATGGACATACTGCTAGATGGCCTGCTTTTTCCAGAGCTGGAAAAATCTCATCACAGATATGTAAGGACCCCAACTACCTGCAGGCTATTAACATGGAAATGGAGCAGGTTTTCACAAGGAGCAGACCGCGATCGTAATCCAGGCCCAGAGAATTCATGAATACGAATAGGCAGTCTGAGTTATAGGGGCTTTGTCATTTCATCATTATAGTTATTATATGGTGCCCCTCAGCTCGGCATCCGAGTCGCCTGTGTGACGCGCACCCCTCATTCCACACACAAAAACACAGGTCTAACGCACTGTGCCGAGCCAAACAAGCACAGAAATAGGAAATTATAGACAGTGACGGATTCCTTATTTGTGTCTTCCTGTTGCTAAAACGTCTTTTATTCATGATGTAAAGCAACGCTGTGTGCCACTATGTGTCAAACTGGAACTGGTGCTTTAAAATAAAAAATAAAAACAGTTTGTTTGCAAAAACAGAGAGGCGCTGAGTTTCAGTTTGGCACACTCAGGGATCCAATATGTAACCGCCCTGACCCGTTTCCAGGTCTTCCAGACCAGTATCAGAGGTAATGAGGCAGGAAAGAACGCTCGCACAAAGCCGTTTGCTCCTCCAAGCCAGACAAGAAGTTAGTTTCATTCACTTCCCCTCAGCTCGAATTTCAAATCTCAAAAACCATCAAAGACAACTCCTATGGTTTTTGAGATCAGATGTCTGAGATGCTTAACCGTGTCATGGACCTTAGGTCGGGGGTTTGGGGTTAGGATTCTAATCCCTGGATTAGGAATGGGTAATCATTCCCAATCCTGTGAATGATAATGTATCCTCTTGATCCAATAGGGCCAAGGATAGGGTAAGTTTACACGGACGTGACTTTCCGTTTTCCCCGCCCTGCTCTCTTCCAGCTGCGCTCCATCCAGGACCTCCAGACGGTTCAGATCATGAAGATCCTGCGCTATGAGAAAAAAGTAGCCGCCATGTTCCTCCTGATGATCTCCTGCTTCCTGGTGTGCTGGACGCCCTACGCCATCGTGTCCATGATGGAGGCCTTCGGCAGGAGGAGTATGGTCTCCCCCACGGTGGCCATCATCCCCTCGTTCTTTGCCAAGTCCAGCACGGCGTACAACCCCCTCATCTATGTCTTCATGAGCAGAAAGGTTTGCGATCAAACTGCGTTGTGATCCTATTCGTTTTGTATCATCAGAACAGACTCGGTATGTTGCTCTCGAGGACATTCATGTACACATTCATGTAAATGTAGAAATTCTGCAGCTTGCGGGGCTGTAATTACCATAAGTTGAATTGTCACCAGCTTTTCACTTACCTGCAAAGGTTAAGGGATGACATTTCGGAGTGAGAGACAAACTAACAAGTGAGAAAAGGCTGTTTTTTTTTCCCCATCCTTGCGTTAAATACCATCCTGTCTTCCCTCCCCTCCCACTGGTCCCTTGCCCAGTTCCGGCGCTGTTTCCTGCAGCTGCTCTGCTCCCGCCTCTGTCTGAGGCTCTCCTGGCTGCAGCGGAACCTCAAGGAGCAGCCCCTGGCCCCGGTGGAGCGGCCCATCCGGCCCATCGTGATGTCCAGCACATGCGGCAGCAGGGAGCGCCCCAAGAAGAGGGTCACCTTCAACTCCTCCTCCATCGTCTTCATCATCACCGGCGACGACTTCCGGCACCTGGACGTCAGCTCCAGAGACGGGGAGTCCTCACAGGGCAACGTCATCCAAGTCAGGCCGCTGTGAACCACAGGAACTGGACTTTCCCCCCCCGCCACTCAGTATGCCTTATGACCTATCATGCAAAATTCCAAGCCAAAACGATCCCGCCTGACCTCCCTGGATGTTTCTGCGTCTGCACGCAGCTCCAGGCTTTTTACAGCCGAGTGTAAATATCCAACTTTCAAGTCCCGAGATCTCCGACCAGACCTGTTCGAATAGTGTGAAAGTGTGACACCCTCACAGCTGTGGTGACCTTTAATACTCCATGATGTAGTGAACAGCTAGTAGGTTTCCTCTGCCATGCAGTCACGTTCCCGCTGTAGGACTGTGTTGAGTGTTTACAGGCCAGTTACGGATCTAAGTTTGGATAAGCGAGCGATAGCAGATTGTCTTTTTCTTTCTTTGTTTGGTTGGTAGCCAACTGCAAGTGTGTAAAGCCTTAGCTTTTTAGCCATAGGACATAGTGACTGTGTATGCGTTGGGAATAGAGATCCTATTTCAGGCTACCTGGTTTGTGCACCTTATCTCGTCTCATTTCAGTCATCGCATCCCATGTGACAGGAGTAGTCACTGTGAAATGGCATTCGGTGGAATTATATGTATGAGCACTACAGGAGTGTAATTAGTTGAAAGGGGGGGGTGGGGGGTAGTGAGAATGGGGGAGTCTGCACTGTCGAGTGAGACACTCTGTAACCTCCCGGGCTGGTCGGCTAAGAATAGACGTGGTGAATCTAATAACGGTGAAGCTAATAAAAAAAATAAAAAATCCTTTTCACTGTGAGAATGAGCGAGTGGCTCCTGTTTTTCTGATTCTCTCACTGTTCTAGTTGAACGTTCCACCAAGCAGGGGCGACGGCGAGGAGGCAGTTTGTTCGGACCACAGAAAAGACAGGATTCGGACCATCTGGGAGGCAGTCAAAAGATGACCAATTTAAGGAAGGATGCAGTTCTTTGCAGTGTCTCAGCAACAAAAACAAAACGAAGATCCCCCCCGTACGTCTCCGCATCGGGTTGTGTTTTAATTCCAGTCTGCCGAGTAACAGATGTACCAAAGTCGATTGACCTGTTGACATCACCAGAATAACACATTTACATCATTTCCAATTAGGTAATCGGGTCCAGAGGGGCATTGACCCATGATGTAATGCTGTAATCTAACTGGCCCCTGAAGTGCCCCGGTTCAGTCACTGGATCATCAGTAAAGGTAACTTATTTTTCCTCTTTTAGCACAGAAAAAAAAAGTATCTTTATATTAAGATAAATAAGGAGGAAAATATCAACTTGGATAAAAAAAGGGTATCTTTAAGTAAAAAGTAGATTGTTACACTGAAACAAAAATGCAAAGATCTTAATTGGGCTAAAATGATGAGTCTCAGTAATATAAATGTGTGAAAAAAGCGCCGATGATTCCATTTCGATTTGAAATTGTTTATTTGAAAGACCCCCATCTTTAACAACGTTCTCATTTTATGTAGAACACAGAAAGCAAACTGCATCCAAATGATCCACTTTAGCTCACATATGAACGAATGCGCATTGTCATATACTTCAAGGAGCCTCTTTCTGAAATGTGGCTTCTCTACAAAACTGACACCACACTTCCAATTGCTGCCATTAATAAAGACCTCGAGTGGATGCTGTCTCCAGCAGTAACTTTTGGGGAGAAGTAAACATTTATTTGCATGCTTGCACGACCCTGAGAGCGTCATACTGAGACCATACTGTAGAATTGCTTCACTTGCTGGAAAATCTTGTCAGTCTGCCATATAAATGAAGCCATTCATTATTTGTAGGAGGTGAATTTGCCTGGCAGAGCCATCACTGTGAACTTGAGGATTCAATCAAAACCTAATTAAATTGGGACGCCCATGGGTTCACCCCCCCCCCCGTCGATCGCTCCGGTGGTCGCACCTGTCTGTCAGATACCGGGGATCAGGGGGTCTTTAGAGCCAAAATCCTGTCCCACATTTTCTCAGCGGGGCCGACGAGCTTGCCGACATCCGGGGGGTTTTTGGCGAGCAGGTAGGCGCCCCCCACAGCGGCTCCCGCGGCACCGAGCAGCAGCCCGCGGTTTATCACCTGAGCAGAGATGGAAAAAGTTTAAACTACCGCAAAGGTTATAGTGTGAGGGGATTACATTTTCCGCCTGCTTGTACAACACGTGGCACAGTTTGAAAATTTGATGTCGGAATTTTCAAATGGGCCAGTTTACAACCAGTCCCTGTGCAACTGGAGTGCGAGTGGGATTTGTACTCCATTGATTTCACTTATAACCTTTATGGACGGATTGTCCAGACACAGCCCACTGGTTATGATGGAAACACGCGCCAACCAACAGCTCCTGCTTCCACAACTACCTCTTAACTGCCTCGGGAGTCCAACAAACTAATCTAATTTTGAGACCCGCTCTCAAAACCTATTCAGCTTCGATAAATTAATACACTAGAGCTAACTGCAGATTTGCACTTTATTAATTCCTAACTCTTTTTTAATGAATAAATCTGGCAATTCTTCTATGTTTAGTTAGGTTCTTATTAAGTATTTAGATTGATTGACAGACATTCTCCAAGGAAACTAAGGAAATTAATCTTTAAGATGAGATCTCTTAACACATCCTGACATAAAACATAGTCCTTAAATAGGAATTTGGTTTATCATATACATGTCTTAAATAATAAAGTAACAGAACTAAGATACAATAAGATTATTCCAAGAGAAAGGTCTCGTTTACAGAGCTCTTTGGTGGTTTTCAGCAGCACATAATTGGAGTCTGCAGCCGTTCTAGTATCAACTGCCATGTTTCTCCTTTACTGATTGGAGACGCTTATAATAAATACATATAATTCTTGATTTCTCCTCACAATTCACGTTATGCCTTTTGTGACTTTTTTTTAATTGTCAGTTTGTTAAAAACGTTTTTGTCTTAAAAAAAAACATTTCAGAGCAATCCAAGCACTAAATAACAAATGTATTACGGTAGTAATACATTATACATTCGGTATAATGTACACAACAATGAATATGATCTGGAATGGATGATAAAACTAGGAGGGTGTGGGTAAAGGTTTTTCAGATAACTAATTTTACCATTTTGTGGGAAAGATTTTTTTTTTTGATAATACGCACATTTGCAAACACTTACAGTGTTATTTATGCCCTCCTCAGCTCGGAAATCCATTTTTACATTGCAGTATTGTACTCTACAGTATAAGGTTGGACAGAGTTATGCTGTGTGACTTTCTGTGTAGCCTCACACAGTCGTTTTCCTTTCCTTTCCTTTTGGCCCGTCCCATGCTTTTGCAATTTCTGATAGAAGCTGAGAAAAATGGCTGCTGTATCCCTGACCATGTCCCTGACTTTGAAAGAATTACAACACCCAGACGGTGCCAGGTAGGAATAGTCACCCGAGAAGTAGAGTGTTTTAAGCATAAAAAGAGATAACATAAAGAGAGAGATGAAAAAAAACCCATGCGTAGTCCTTTACTTTGTCTTGCCAGTGCCAGCGCTCCACGGCCTGGTGGTATCTGGTCCTGGTGAATGTCACCTACAGGGGCACAAAAAGAGCAAGAAGCATAACACGTTTAACGTTTGAAATGGGCAACCCGCGACTCCGGCCGTCTGAAGTTTACGGACAGGCTTTACCATCGTATAGAGCGGAATGATCGTCTTTGGCATGAGGAGGTGGAGGACGTTATCCACGTGCTTTCTGAAAATGAACCATTTGGAGTTGACATGCGCTCGCATCTAAAGGGGTGAAATAAACAAACAGGGTTTGAAAATTCTGAAACAATTTAAACTGTATCTTAATATTAGGTGAGCCGTCTGGACATCCAGCTGAGGGATACACTCCAGGTCTTTGAGTTGATTTATTTAGTTTTACATACATTTATGCACTCAGCAAAATACGTTTGTTCAAAGGAGAATTAGCTATCATTTGAAAGAACAAATGCACAATACACAGCTGTGTGGTTGCAGATGGTGTGTCTGATTTGAGGGCGTCTCTTGCTGCTTACGGGTGCAACGTGTTGTGTGTATCAAATGCTCCAGTCGTCTCAATCACTGCCCCCCCTGGGGGGTCTTCTAGCCCGTTTCTATTTGCTGCCCCTGAGTTAAGCAACTTCAGCTATCTCAGGTTATATGTTCCAAGTCAGACAAACGTCTGCCTGTGGACCTTTAAGCAGCAGCAAACATGGAAACCTTTCAGCATGAGCCTCCTCCTCCTCCTTTACTGTACGTTTACATTTTGAATGCACCATTCTCGGTGTAGTTTTTTTTTGCAACTGGCTGTTCGTCCCCGGTGGCCTCATTGTCCACTTGTCTGTCATTTGTGAGGTAAGTCAAACCTGCATGAAAGGTGCCACATCCAATAAACGCATGTGAGGTTCTGCACTCATGTTGGGAAATAAACAAGCCGGGGAGGATCCCGTTTAAACATCCTCAGCTGGATGTCCAACATGTTGTAAACTGTTTATACGTTTTCCGATTTCTGATAAATCGTCTTTCTTTTGCCCCATATGAGCAGAAAAAAAGAAGAAGAAACAGTCCGCTAAGCACCAGAAAACACCAGATGTAAACGGTAAACGGTAAGCACACACAAAAGACTCCTGCACAGAGTCACGCCTTCTTCAGATTGGACAAAACGGGCGTCTTTTGATGAGGCGGAAATTAAAAAAAGCAGGCCACCTTCTTTTTAATTTCCCCCAAATGACTCCGTCAGTTCATTTCTGATTTGTGTTTAATGGCTGCTGGGGGGCTTGTTTTTGACAAATACGAGCTGACGTGTGTGTGTGTGTGTGTGAACGTCCACTCTGGCACTGATTGATAACCTCACTAATAAGAAGAAGAACTGGAGATGATTAAAGAAGGTTTGACTGAACAGACTAAGGAGTCCCACCTGGACGTATCTGACATAAAAGAGGTCACTCAACAACCAGAAGTTCCTAGAAATGACAGGCTACCAATGTAGAGGGACAGGGAGACAAATAATGTCAAAAAGAAAGGAGAGAAATAGTTGAATCACACCAAATGAAAGAAGGTTTGGACTGAAAATCAACTGCAATTGATCTTATAGAGGGATGAAAGACAAGAAATTGGCATGTGCTGTCCCTCTTTGTTGAATTTGCGTGCTGTTTTTCATTCAAGTCTTTGCTCCACTGTCCACTGTGCCGTGCGTGGAATGCGTGCTTTACCTCCACGTAGTTGTACATGGCCAGGTCGGCGATTGCGTGGTCGTCTGGAACCCGCACCCTGGTGTACTCGGGGAGAACGGCGCCTGGGCGGAGAGACGACGGGCGAAAAGACAACACATTTGTTCAGCCTGGCCTTTGACTACCCCGCTCCTTTCGTTCTAAGGGCGCTTACTGAAGTCCTCGTTGAGCTGTTCCATGATCTCGTCGAAGACGATGCAGTCCTCGAAGCCCTGCGGGGCGAGAACGGGATAAGTGAGCCTCCAACTGACCCCGCCTCCCGCCCTGTTTCCTCCCCTCCATCCTTGCGTTACTCACGGCGTTCATGCCCTGCCCGTAGAAAGGCACTATGGCGTGGGCCGCATCTCCCATGAGGACGCACTTGTCGCCGATGTGATAGGGGGAGCATTTAACAGACACCATGGCCTGCGCGGGCAGCCGGAAGTAATCCCTCTTGAGAGCGTCCCTGCGAAGAACAATCGCCAAAACTTCGTTTGAGCAACGCGGCTGTGTTTTACGCTCACACCAGAAGCGGCCGGATCTGTCTGGCCCCTAGTTTTTGAGGACCTTAAACGGAGAAAGTGCGCGTTCAGCCTGAGCGGGCCCGGATAAAGTCGGCTCAGGGGAGGTGAGGGAATGAAAGCCCCAGGCGAGCGTCCCATCTCCCTCGGCCTGGTTCCAGCCCTCAGCCACCCGCAACACACGAGTCCACCTCGAATTAAAACCTCACGGCTGAAATCCGTGTGAGCATCGCCCGGCAAATTTCACACTTCACAGATCGTGGCTTTGGACGCGGCCGGGGGCCTGTGGGGCCGCGGGGGCTGAGGGAGCTGAGGGGTGTGTTTTTAAGGGATGCATTTGGAGGCTGGAGGACCATGCGAAGACAGAGGGGCGAAGAGGGGAAGGGAGACGAGCGATGAGTGGGCGGGGGAGCGAGAAGGTCACTCACACTCCGATTAGCGGGATGGCGTCGGGGAAGTAGTTTTGGAAAAAGTGGATCACTTCGTCTCCCGTGGTGATCTTCTCGAACTCGTCGAAGGGCATGAAGAGGGTGCAGGTGAATGTCTTGTCCTGAATTGGGAAAAATAGGCAGAGTGGATGCTGATGTTACCTCTAAGATTTGTCATTTCCTCAGAAAAGTCTCTGCATGATTAAGGAAAATTGAAGCGTGAAAAAATAAGAACAAATACTGTAGAAAGGATAGATAGATAGATAGATAGATAGATAGATAGATAGATAGATAGATAGATAGATAGATAGATAGATAGATAGATAGATTACTTTGAGGGCAAGCCCTCTGGCTTTTGGCTCTCTTGTTTAATTTCACCAGTACCAGCTAGTTAATGGAACATGCTGGTGCTTTGCTGTGATGAATTACATGACTCCGTTTTGCCAAGAACATAAAGGCTAAATGTAAACCGCCTTTAGGCCGCTTTTGAGGTAATAGCTCATGTGTCCAATAGGACAGCAGATTAATTACACATGATGTAACTTAAGCTGTACTGATCCATCATGAAGAATGGCCATTTTGCAACATCCCACCATTTTAAAAGTTAGTTTTAAAAGAGTTGTTTATCTTTAAGCTGCTGAGTAAGACACATTAAGTAACAGCTATAATGTGTCATCATCACTGGTTAGGGCGTCTTCTATATAGAACCTTCATTCTGTAGAATAAATAAAATACATTAAAAAAAACGTTAATTTAATTACTTAAAATCTCATTAGCAGTATTTTGCAAACAACTGTCAGGATATCCTTAACAGAATGGAAATTTAATTTGAAAATTGTGTCTTGGGCCTTTGGATAAACTGGTTCATCGGCTTGTTACCAAATGGAATGATGTGGTGGTTGTTCTTCAGCTTTGAAAGATTCTTAGGTCTTCTGTTCCACAAATGCTCTTCTGGTTTACTTTAGAGAATTCTGGGCCCGGTCCTATCTAGCCTTTTAGTTATCTTGGATTAGGAATGGCTGTCAACCTCGGATGAACCCTCTATGTTTGTTCTGAGAAGTCGTCTCTTTATGGAAGACTTGAGCAGAGATGGGTCTACCTCCCACAGAATGTTTATCGACCACAGCTGTCTTCCGAGACTTCTGAATCTGCAGAGCACACCAGGGGGATCTGTTTTTGTCTGTGTTTTTTCTCTCTCTCAGAAACTAACAAACTATTGATTTGGACGCCCCCCTTGTGTTTCTCCCTTCAACCTGACGGGGGTGATTTATTCCTGCATCCTTAACTGTGACCTTTTGCGCTGACACTTAGAGGCCCTGCTGTAGTACTGTAGGATCATATAATCAGCAAAAGCTAAAGCCGCATTGGGGATCGACACCAGACTTTTTATGCGTTTTTCAATAATGAAGCGATACGGACAGAGCAGCCAGCATGTATCAATGCAACCCGCCCAATGGGTGCACTGTGTTCATTTTAATACGAATTCACTTTGGCTTTTGAATAATCTTCCTATTACCAATTCAAATGCTGAACTCCACCTAGACCAGGTGATGGATGGAAGTCCACAGAGGTTGTGGCCATATCATTATCCCCACCCGCACCCCACTTAAGTAGGTGCCATCAATCAACAACAGAAATATCCTCCCGGTGGACCTTTTGATAATGGCGTTGTTGCCATGGCATCCACAGCAGGGAGGATATCTTCTTTACGTTTTCTTTTTTCTTTTCTTTTCTTTTTTTTTCTTTCTTGATCTTAATGGGTTTCTGTCAACTGGGGCAGCAAGTGACAATGTGGGTGCACTCTAAAGCTAGCTGTCTTAACCTGGTCCCTCAGAGGAGAGCGGAAAACATTGCGCTGAGTCAGCCAGGCAGAAAAAAAATCATGGTCAGATTAAAAGGGACAGGGGAGGGAGGGGGTGGGGTGTGACAAAGACAAAATGAGACACGGGTGAGAAGGAGGACACCGCCGCTGTTTGATAAGTAGGGTAAACCTCAGGGAGTCGAGATATTCTGCACTCCGTGGTTTCTGATGACTAAGTCTCCTCTAACAGTGGAGAGGGTCACATTAACACAGGTCCTTTGAATCCCTTCTATTTCTTTTAATTAATTAGGACTTAATCTAACTCTAATACCCAGCTAATGAGGTAATAATTTCGCGTGTAATTAAAAAAAAAAACTTTACATTTCAAGTTAAATGAAGGACGTGAGAGAAGAAAAATTTCATTTCAAGCTTACCAGGTTGGGCAGCGCGATCATCATGAAGGTGTTCCGTGGCCAGATGTGCAGAAAACCGGGCTTCATAGCGAACTGGAGGTCAGAAACAGAAAAAGAAACAACAGAGCGTGTTACTGACAAAACAAAAAACAAAACAAAAACTGATATTTGAGAAGTTGCGGGTTCTGAACCGGGGACTGACCTCTCCGTCGATGGGGGGCATGGTGAGCTCCATGTAGCCGTGAGGGATGTACGTCTGGCTGTAATTAAAGCGGCTGCGGCGGAGGAACTGCTTGCGAATGGCGGAGAAAGCACCATCGCAGCCCACAATCAGGTCTGCCTGGACCTGATTACTGGAGCCGTCCGACCTGAGACAGCAGATGAATTCACTTCAATGAAGAGGGCCTGCCATCTAAAGCCTGACTTGATAGATTCCGCACTTGGCCGGAGGGATATCACCAAATGAAAGACAACACGCTCGTATCGTCTGAATAATTCAATAAGTAGCATTTTGGGACTTCATTAGGCTCCCTGGAAGGGAAGTCACCTCCTCCTCCACACCTGTTACCCTTGCTGACATGGGCAGGTTTCTAATAAATCTTGTGCTTGAGGGAGTTTGCTAATTGCACAGGCCTTAGGCCATTGGCCCTCAGGTTTAATCCACCCCATAATACAGCTGTTTTTAAGCTTCTTTTTTTTGTCTCACACCTTCCGTCTTCCTCTGCTGACGCTCGCCAACTTTAAACCTTTTTTTTCTTCTTCTACTTCTTTCTCAATGAGCCGTGGTCGGTTCATAATGGTGTTTAACACTGACAGATGATGATCTATGTACTTTAGCTGACTACGATTCATTACAATTAATCGTTCTTTGCGACATGACAGGATCATCTGCTTCAGGCCAGCGCACTGATGTTTGAACTGGCCAAAACCTCACGCACAGAATACAAAAAGCGGAACTCTGCTTGTGCTCTGCTGCTCTGTTTGTCACCCCTCCATAGGGGACCACATGTAGAACAAATGCTGAATTTGTCATGAAAAAAATGAACTGAACACACTTTCATATTCTTAAATATCCCTAAATGGTGATTAAATATAACGCATCAACAGTGACTGGTGTTTGACTGACATACATACGGCTGTTTATAGGATATTTAAAGCTGTTTGCCTTTTAATGCTTGATTTGTTTAGCATGATTTTGCTTTCAAATGTTTTGTTTTATGCCTCCATACTGCAGAGCACTGATTACACTCACTGTTATCAGGCATGCTGTCTGAAGGCTTGGTCTATTTTGGTACATACTGGACAGAAATATGATATCACTACACAGTTGATTCTGTCAGAGGCCACGATGTTTTCCATAACAGTGGGATCAATTTCCACCGGGAACACTACATTGCAAGATGTGAAGGAGAGTTATACAGCACATAGAAAGACTCTTCTGTGATGTGGGTTACCAGGGGGCTAAGCAAATAGACTCATTTGTATTAAATACTACATCCCATCTGTTCTTACCGTGCAGTTTCCTGCATGTTAAAGCTGCACTGTATACAAATTTGAAGAGAAAGTTAAGAATGCAATATTCCTTTCTCCTGTGATCCACTGAATCCTTTGTAAAATAGCTCTTTTGGCTTTATTTGACCACTGAGATGTCTCCAAACCTGCCTAAGCATAAAAGGCTATTTAACCAGACTTTGCTGTGAGTCGCTCCCTACAGAAGCGGGTGACTTTGCACCTCTTGCCTCTATTTTTTTAAGTCAAAATTTCAGTTTGAAGCTAAAAACACGCTAAAGTTATTTGGGGCTAGAATACAGAGCAGCAGAGCTCCAAAAAAATATACCCTTGTTGGGATTACAATTGCTTGCTTTCTGATTAGCCAGTGGTTCATGAAGTGGACTGAACAAGTTATTCATTCTCGTTGAGTAAGATTTTAACCCCAGGGTGCAGAAAACACTCTTTTTCAAAAAGAAAGAGTCAAAAACTGAACATATGATGGGTCCTTCACTTTTGGCCTGTTTTTAATGTAAGTTGCCTCATGATGGGTAAAAGTAATGATGGATAAAAGTAAAGAAATGTCTCTTGTTGACGTCAACACTAATCAGGATATACATATAGTAACCTCTGCAATCTGCATGACTCCAGTCCGTCACATCTATTTTCTCCTCGGCTCAAAAGTATTGTGTATTAAACTCACATTCAACACAAATATTATATATATTCTAACAAAATGTTTCTGTTACTATTTTCTGGAAAAAAAAAGAGGATCTGATGTATGGTTAAAAACAGCAGAATATCTAAAAGAACATTCTTTATGTTCAATCTTTGCTCAGTGTTAGAGTTCCCACCTAAAAGGAAAACAACACCTTTAAAAGAAAATTGGTTTAACTCATTTCCTGACAATAACCTTCTGCTACTTTCTGTATGAAAGGTGCTTTATAAATAAATAAATTGAATTGGATTGAATCGGAACTTGGCTGTTAGATAATTTAGGTTTAGCCTAACTGAAACACACAATGTTAGATTCTAGTGCTTTATTCATTACATAATAGATACCTCAGAAACGTCAGGATGTTCCGAAAAAAGGAATTTAGTAAACAAAGATCTTAGGCTGACATTCTCAGAGCAGGACAGGATAGCGAGTACATTTCATGTATTTTCTGAAGCTACTCATATAATGCTTTCTTTGTAAAGTGTTATCAGAATATACTTATTGCAAATACTTTCTTTCATAAGACCAAACGATGTCAAATTAAACATTTTATGGTAATCTCTTCAATGATTGTTCAAATGAGGACCCTGGACACGTATTTCCATTCATGAAGTCACACTGCTGGTGGGTGTAATAGCAGGAGACAAATTATTTTATCTTTAATTCCACCCGGCACATGCAGGGCCTGGTACACCTGTGGCTTCATTCGTTAATCCTAATCCCTAAAATTCTATTTCAAAAGCGACACACGTCTGCTTTTTGTCCCCGCTCCTGCACACATCCCTTCTCCATTATCTGCTCCCCGGCACAAAGTTAACTTTGCAGTGGCAGAAAAAAGTTTGGGCTGTAAATTCTTCAAAGCGGTCACAGATTAGCCCTTCAATGTCATTTAGACGGGTCAACTAAACTGGCTCATTATTGTTGATCACAGCTTTTTCCCCCCCCACTGAAACTGCAGATTTATGACAATGCTAAATGCGCACGACAACCAGCAAATCTCTAAATGGACTCGTGCATTGCAAATCTGATAATATCTGTTTTCCTGTCTCAAAGGGGAAAGGCGGTCCATTTGGTATGTGCATTAACCTGCATCCCGGGGTATGGATTTCACATTTCTCTATTTGCATGTTATCAGATTGACAATATCAAAGATACTTGATGGAAAGATGCTGCTATCTGTACATTTCCTGGTGAGCCGTAAGAGAGTAAATGCAGCCTTGAAAGTGGTTTCAGGTTCTTAGTGTGCGTTCAGTTATATAAGCTGGAGACAGCGGTGATTCACCGTGATCCATATTTAAAGTGGGCACTGTTGAGCATGAAAATAAATAAACAGAAATGACCGCACGGGCATGAATTAGATATTTGAGCAATTTAGATAAGACCGGATTCAATTTGAGAACGTCGACCAATTGAGCGGAGTTAGCCTTCATGCATGTAGGGGTATTAATTAAGTACTGCCGTGTCCAGCTCTAAGAAAGAGCTAGAGGTGTTTGAATATTAATTGGATGTTACATTGTGCGTCACATTTACGTACCAAAGCAGACTAACAAAAAAAAAAAAAAAAGCCTCGCGTGGCAGCTTCAAAGAGAGCATGTCTGTCACATTTCATAACACATGCGTTTCCACGTGTCCCTCCAACCGATGGATAGGAGAGAATGCGATCTATAAGTCCAAAGACTCCACATCAGGACACCCTCCTGTTTTGTAGTATTAGTCTGTGTGTGTGTGTGTGTATTCCTGCACATGTAAGAGCTGTTACTGTTTTACCTGACAAAGGTCATCAGCCCTGTTTCAGCACTCCAGTCCTGAAGTTTGTGGTCGAAGTTCAGATTTGTGTTTGGATACGTCTCTGCCTCTGCGAGAGTACAGGACAACACAACAAAAAAACAATGTCACAGATGCGGGCAAAATGCAAAATACTGCTTGTTTTTTTTGTACGCATACACATGGAGAGTAGAGGGGAAACGTCTAACAAGCGAGGACCCTGTGTGGGCAAAAAGTCAGTGAAAGCAGCAGTCTCCCAAACAGCACAACGCAGCTGTCAGTGTATTCTGGGTTTTTTTGTGGGACGTCACACTGCAAAATCTCTTTATCTCAGTGTTCACTGCCGGAGCCTGGATCGGCCCTGATAAGAGAGACGAGCGAGTCAGCCCGTCCTTCGGTTCAGCGCTTCCCGCAATGTAATTAGGGACGGAGCCCTGCTGTCACACATTATCTCCAAACCTACGCCGAGGCTCCTCATTAAATATTTGGCAAAAAAAATCCTCGCGGCTACAAAAAGTGAAGCTCGTGAGCGAGGGAGCATCTGCAAGTGGTTGAGCTGCTTAAGTCGGGACAAACGATGGGAAGAAAAGAGTCGGTCCTTTCAAGCTGCTCACGCCAAAGTCTGTGAGTGACGGCGACTCACAAACCGAAGCACATTTGCATGAACAGCACAGGTTGACAGCAAGACAAGACAGGCGAGTACAAAGGTATTCATCCCCGGTTATACTGCTGTCAGCCAGTGGATTCAGAGGTTTCAATGGATTCAATGTTTCCTTTAAAAATATCGGGAGGATATGTATTCTCCTTGATACAAATCCTTCGGTTTAAAGTCTGTTTCACTTAATTATGATGCTCAAAGTGGCTGCTTGCAGCATTTCCAGTTCTAATAGGGATAGTTACTGTAGTTAACTCATCTTAAAGGCTTTGTATGAAACTTGGGGGATCGCAATATGCAGGTTTAACTGTACATCTTGGGTAAAAGGATCGACAGAAAACAAGAAAATCTACCTGTTTGCACCATCCTGTACACCACCATCTAATATCATTCTACTGTCATTCACCCTCTAAGCTGGATGCTGTGAGAATGTAAATCTTAATGTAAATCCCAGCGTCTTCCTAACCAAACAGAGGGTGCAAGATTTATTGGCCTATCATTGATCAATATTCAGCAAGCTAACTGCAATACACTCATCTGAATATAGGATTACAATCAATGGATGCCAGTAGCCATTTCTAATCTCTGAAATCCTCTTTATTTCCATATTTTCATAAGATCAAAAAGTGCTGTCGGGACCCAAACCACACAGTTTCTCAGGTCCTGATTGTGACTAAAAAGGGAATTCAAGCAAAAGTTTTCAACTTATCAATCAGGACAAAAGCTGCATGTGGCAGCTGCATTAGCTTCTCCTCTACTTCACTTATCACATTTCAAGGCAAGAACCAGAAACATGGCCGTCAACAGCAAAAGCCCGGCCCAGACCAAAGACCATGAAGTCACTGGGAGATAGGACAAAATAATCAAAGGGGGAGAGTTTTTTTTTCAAGGGTGCAAGAAGTGAAAGCGAGTGCTGCTTTAGAAACGAGAAACCTACAAGAAAAGTAATAACCTGAGCAAAAAAAGTGCATCTTAAAAATAGATCAAAAGACAACAGACTGGCAAACACACACTGACACACACTATAGGTACTACTCGGGGCACATTTGGTACAGTAACGTTTGAAAAGCTCAAGGTGGAAATCAGGAAGGATCATATGATTCTTTGTTGGGGAATGATTTGAAGAGGTTTTTAACATTTTTACCTGTTAGCAGCTCTTTGTTCAGATTGGCCCGGTCGACAGACAGGATGTACTGAAAGGAGAACACATAATGTCACGTAGAGCAATTTGCCACCATTTCTCCATCAGAATGATCAAGTCTGTTGCTTTTGAAAAAGGGAACATGGAAGAAAATGCTCCAGGGTTTCAGTCCAGTCCCCACATTCATGACTGGAAAAACAAATTCTGGGCGACTTTCTTAAATATGTTTGTTTTCCCCTGAGGTGATCAAACTGACAGACAGCAGGCTAATCTCGGTTATTTGAAGGGAAAAGAGCACATTCTATGATGTCATTCTGGCCTCCAGTTCGTTAAAATGCTCCATTTTAGCGAAAATGTTTAGTATGACCACACAAGTTGTCCCAGTGATGCTGTCAGACACACATACACACAAACACACACACACACACAACGTCGAGCAAGCAGGATTAATATTTAATCCGCAGCCTCTATATGTATACATGAGGCAATTCTTACAGCATGTTTGCCTTCAAGCAAAGTGCAGTGGTTGATTCACCAGTTTGAGAGGAAAATCAGTCTGGGAATCAAATTGATAATGTCTATCTGTCAAACACTTCTTGTTATGTGAATAGTTTTGACATCAAGTTTAGCTTTCTATAACAATAAAACTGCTTGGCTTTGTGGCACAAAAAGCATAAAGGAAGCGTTAAAATCTTTGCTGGCAGGTGGCGGACGGGTGGGCTCACCTGGCCTTTCTTCCCATAGGGTATTGGGGACTGTTTCCCAGTCAGGGAGTGGATCATTCTGGCATGCATGGGGATCCCCTTTGACACGATCTGAGGCAAGAAAATAAAAAAAAAAAGGTTATTTTGAGTCTTGAGAGCGTACAGGAACAACCTTTTTTATGATAAGCAAGTCCATTTAATGTACAATACAATTTTTTTTCCATTCTAAAGGTGAAAGGTGGGCATCTTGCTGCAGCAGTTGTGACGACTTAACACCAGTCTTTTTTTGTCTTTTTTTAAATATTGCATCTGTCCTTGATGAATATAATGGTGGAAACCTGGCAAAAACCTGGCCGAGCGTCTCTCGGGCTGAAAACTCATGCAAGTGTGAAGAAAATGGCCTATGCAGAACCCCGAGGCGTGCGGAACACGGCCCAGAGCAGCAACTGTGGACCGACTGGAGAGACTGCTGACCTTAGCAGCCAAAATGAAATATCTTATGCGGACTGCAAGCCAAGCGAGCCGCGTGGTAGATTCTCCGGGGCACAGCCACATAGTTAATATTTCATTATAATAAATTAACATAAAATCATAGATTCAGTCTGTAATATGTGGTGGAGCCAGCGTTGCATGGCTTGGAGGAACTGCCCTAAGGCCTGGACCCTAAAGCAAATGTGAGGGGTTGATGCCCCTATGTATCTAAAAGCTGTTTTCCCCCTTCGCTTTGTCAGCATCGGCGCTGTTCACTCTGCATACCTTCTCCTCCATTCCAACACGTTTCAGGGCCTGCCGTCCTCTGTGAGACAAGGCCAAGTTGATGCTTCTCCCTTTCACGATTTTGGCTTTCCGGATGTCTGACTCGAAAAGAAATGACACACAAAACATTCGATTCCAGCTTTGCAAATCCTGTTGTCAAGGGTGTTCACAGGCGCTGGCGTATTTCTCCAGAGACTGGAGTGTGAGGCGTCAGCTTTATTTTATTTGAAAAGCAGGACTTAACAACGAGCTCATACCTTCCCTGTTTTCAAAGACTTCCACCTGAAAGCCTCTTTTGGCAAAGTAGCAGGCGTTGAGTGCCCCGACCTGGGGAGCGAGGAGAAATGCATTGTAAACTCCAAATCGGTAGCCGACACAGATGTGCATTATTATCTAGTGGCTGCACACTATTGTCCTAGTCCCAGCTTGAGTCATAAACTCATCGGTCTTCAGTGACCTTTTCCCCACCTGTGATCTGCGCTTTCTAAATGCCAATTCTTTCTCCACATTGCAAAGGAGTTATGCTTTGTAAAAGATGAATAAAAATAAATCAACCCTTTTACAAGGGTTAGGGTTGTCACAGAAAACAGGTCACATGTGCAGTCGTAAATTGAAGAAAAAAAAACAGACCTGACTTAAAGTGATTTATAATTCACTTTCATTTTCTTTTCTTACCAAGCCACCGCCCACCACTGCTACAACTTTCCTCTCCGTCTGTCTGTCGGCTGATTCCTCCATGTTGCTCGGGATTGTCTGGAGGTGTCTGACCCACTCACAGTCCGGTGCAGAGTGATTAACAGAACGGTCAGGCTGAGGTTTTGGAAGAGGAGGAGCGTAGGGGATCCCTCTGGCATGTCATGAATGTCACTTTCATAATCAGTTCCCCTTTCAATGCAAACAGGAACATAAGATAACAAAAGACACTCTGAGCATCTACTGGCAGCACCATCTGGGGTCAAAGAGCCACATCTAGTATCATCTGTAATTAAAAAAAACATTTATTTGGGTTAAATGAGAAGAATAGTAAAACATTGAAACCTGTCTATTGGATATTACCATGCTTTTAAACTTCCTGCCGATTAAGTAATTGATAATTACACAATTACATATGTAAGTGTTCTTTAGCAGTTTATCCAAAACATGAATGAAATTCTTTTTTCTTTTTTTTACGGTACATTTTGTTCAAGGTTCATGTGAAAAACGCGAGTATTGGCCCTAACTCTTGCAATCTTACAGACCAACGTGATTTTTTTTTTTTTTTTTTTTACAAGCCAATGTGAAATTATTGTGCAAGTAAAGCAATCTGACGCCATCTGGTGGCAAAGAGATGGAAACGCACTAAAATTAGGAAAAGGCACGCCGAGATCAGTATGAGTGCGTGTAATCAAAAAGGTTCACATTTAAAATCTTTAAAATCATTTAAAATCTTTAACAACACAGCTAACTGAATCAACATACAAGGTGATTAAAGACGAGAATCTATCCCGACCTTAATTTGTTACAATTTACAGGTTCACTTATTGTATGTGAAATGTATTTACTAAAAGATGTGTCTTATCAGCTGCTTTATATAAAAAACTAACGTTGCTGTAAATATAAACGTATCCGCTAAGACCGGTTACGTATCTGTTCCAAAATGACAACATTTCAGTTTTTTCTTTTGTGATGCAAATAAAAGTATTCCTGCTAGAGACTGCCTTCAAATTCTATAAAAAACCTATATCTGAGGTGCAATTACTTTGAATTACAGCAATTAACAAATTATATAGATAACTGTAGTATTGTTGTTTCTGCGAACAATTTCCTCGCAGTTAAGGGCGTAGGAAAAAAATACACACATAATACATCAAACAAAAAATTACATACGACATGGTAGTCTAACAACTGGGTGAGTGTCGGGTGGGTTGGTCTTAAATTCGACATGTAAATAAGAAAAATTATGTATGTATGTTTTTTTTCTCTTTGTGCGCGTTAACAGTTGCAAAAACGGGTGGAACTTGATATTTAAAGCTGAGCATAAAAAAGGAAAGGAAATCCCTCTGCAGGCTAACTAATCGATATCAGAATTGATGACACAACATAATTTTTAGGACGGTTATGGGTGGCCTGCCATTTTTCGTTTCACTCAAAATTAAGTAGACGTCAGTTTTTGTACTGTTAATGTGTTATAATGCACCAGTGGTAAAAGTGAATTACTATGATACGGCGCTAGCATATACTCTGTGTTCAGCTGCTCGTGGCTGTTCAAAGATGGCGCCGTAAGAGCCGTGGTTTGTTTTCCATGGGTGTAAAGTATGTTTAAGTGCATTAACCGAACGGCCCACATTGCAAGATATTGTCAGTCAACAGGAAACGGCGTCCATATCAACCAACATTTTAGGTGAGTGTCATCAGCGAACTGTCGCACTTTTGACTAAAACTGTTTATTTTTACAATCTAAGTCAAACTGGCTAGCTACCAACTTAACGTTGGCGGCGCGAGCTGGTGTTTATTGACCTAGCTAACCTCCCCGGCTAAGCCCCGACGCTGTTAGCAGGGATGCTACATTTAGAGGCAGCTAAACCCATTTGTATCCGGTATTTCCTTTGTGGTTTTATAGGTCCGTTTTTCCAAACAAAGTTTTGAAATGGACATTCTCACGCAGTTAGGCGCCCCTTTCGCTACTTCGATACTTGCTTACGTTTCGTGGCAGTTGTTGCTGATCAAACCAGCTAATGCTAGTGTCCCTTTTTGTGACCGGGATTACGTTGTCTTCCACCGGTAAAACCACCGGCTGTCAGCGTTGCTCGTTAAACAGGCCTTGCGACTGTCTGCATATCCTATTAATATATTTTTGTAAACAGTGTAACTGTTGTCAAATTGATAGATTGACACTCGTTGTTAGGCTTTATTTGAACTTATTTATAGTTTCATGAGCCAGCAGATATGTGCTACTGTAGAGGGTGAATGTGGTAAGGCAAAATGGTCCCTTTACTAAACTTTTCTTTATTCCCTTTTCTGCAGGCTGGTGTCATCCTTACCCCTCAGAATGACCGACCCAGCTGTGAAGAGGGTGATCAGTGATATAATTCGCTCTCCCGAGGACAAAAGGGTTTACAGGGGCCTACAGTTTACCAATGGCTTACATGCAATGCTGATCAGTGATCCGACCACAGATAAATCTTCGGCTGCTTTGGACGTCCAGATAGGTAAAATTATTAACTTAAATCTAGTGACAGGCCTCCCACTAGTTTGTAAAATGAAAATTATCTACATGTAGTTGTAGTCCATTAGAATAAAAAAGCGGATTACTCTATTCTCACCCAGAATAATATCACTGCTCTATAACTTTTACTCTAAACTGAAGATTAGCCTCTTCTGCATCTTTTGTAGTCATCCTTTTGCAGCTACTCACTGCCAGAACTAATTTGTCTTTCATCCTGACCCTACATTAGCTTGTTGGTTGTAAAATGAAAAGGGATTTGTGAAATATTTGTGAGATTGCCCAAGTTCTCACTTATGTCTAATGGCTTTAGATGGCTTTTTCTTTTAGAGGGTCCTTCCTGTTACTTTAATTATGTTTTTTTTTATGTCTTAATTTGAATAATTACTTAACATATAAATTGATTATCTTAATTATACATACACACACATATATATATATATATATGTGTGCAACTCTAATGGAGTTGCATAAATATACCATCACCCATTAAGGCTTGTTCCCTGACTTTCTTATCAGCTAAGACATACAGCGCAATTGACCAGGTTTGCCTATCCATTCTTCATCTGTTCACAGGTTCATTGTCAGACCCACAGAACATCTCAGGCCTGGCGCACTTCTGCGAACACATGCTTTTCCTCGGAACAGAGAAGTATCCCAAAGAGAACGAGTACAGCCAGTTCCTTAGCGAGCATGCGGGCAGCTCCAACGCCTTCACAAGCGGGGAGCATACCAACTACTACTTCGATGTGTCCCACGAGCACTTGCAAGGGGCTCTCGACAGGTGCTTTGACAGCGGTTTGATAGAGTTGATTGGAGCTTTTTGTTTCTTGCTTTGTCATTCTACGCTTTTGCCCGCTTTTTATAATTTGTTTGCTATGCAAATGGCTCAGCAGTGACTTCTGCAAGGCCGGTCACTTTGTTTTATGATGCAGAATTGATCCTGACAGTTGTCAGGTTGTCGCATCCTTATCTAACGGGGTTTTACCACCAGCGCCTGCGCAGTCCAGCTCAACCTGACAGTTTTAGCACCCGCTCAGCCGGGGTTACAAGGGGGCCGAGTCTGGACAACAGCAGACTGTCACATGAGTGGATGAATGACGAAAGTGACTATTTAACGAGAACGCCGCCCGTTTTTTAAAAAGCGCCACCAATAAGAGTCTGATTTCTGAGATCAGAAGTCCTGTACAGGCCTAATACACAAACACCGGTGTATGGTCACCGCACTGGCCTTCACTGTTGTCTCGTGTTTGGGTGGCATGAAAATGATGTCAGGGGCTTATTGACCCGTCTAGACCTCACCTGTAATGGAAAACCACCTTAACTAAGCCACGAAGAGGTGAGCGGAGCCAGGTGGGGCTAAGTAGATACTAATGGAAAAGCCTCCAAAGTAGATGTTTGGTGATCAGTATACAGTCCACGTGCTTATCTTTAAGAGCTGTCACTGGCATTGTGCAGAGCGCACTCGAATGCCCTCTGGAGGGGATCCTATTCCCCTTCAGGGTTGAAACCTTAGGTCGAGGGCGAGACCGGCGTCCTGAGCTTTGCAGGGAGTCGTGGCCGCGTCCCCGCTGTGTCGGTTCGGAAAGGACACTCAGCAGGTCAGAATTGAACTTACAGGGATAAGCTTACCTGATTAGAAATGAATGACAGCCCAGCACCCATGTCAGCGGCATGGCTCTTTGTTGTCACCGGCCAGTGAGAGCCATCTGGGCCGCACTGGCAGGAAAGGACAATGCAAACTGAAGTTAATTATTCATGAAATCGTTGTCTGAGAGGATCATATGTATTGCCATCTTTTTTTTTTTTCCTTAAAGGGGGGGTTGTCCATGCCATGCAGATACATTTCTGGATAGTTAATCCAACTGAACATTTCAATTAAAACCCTCAGACGTTTTGATCAGCCTTATTTCTTCCTGTTAGGAGGATGCAAATTTCCATGTTCTGTTTAAAAAACATTCTTTTTTTCTTTTTTTTTTTTGGGGAAGAAAATCCCAAAATTCCAAAGCCTTCCTCCATAAAGAATCATTGTGAAGAGGCTTTGCAGCAACTTTTTAGCCGAATGTAGAATGTCATCCTCTCTGCTTTACATTCTCTTATTTGCATGGCAGTTTGTCATGCAAATTGCATTTGTTGATATATCGTGGTACACCATTGTTTTGATTTAGTTGTTGTTGTTGCATGTGTTTCAAAGCTTAACATCATGAACAATGACAAAGCCTCACATCTGGGCTCTTTGTGTCCCCTCTGTAGGTTTGCCCAGTTCTTCCTGTGCCCTCTGTTTGATGAGAGCTGTAAGGACCGGGAGGTGAATGCTGTGGACTCTGAGCATGAAAAGAACCTGATGAACGATGCCTGGAGGCTTTTCCAGCTGGAGAAGGCCACCGGCAACCCAAACCATCCTTTCAGTAAATTTGGAACAGGTAGAAATCCCACAAATCTTTTTTTCTTAAATCATTTTTTTTTTTAGCTTTTTAAAAAAAATTTAATGGGGGATGTTGTATTGATAGATGGTTTATCCTTATCTTCCCCCAAAAAAATTCCCTAATTGGACAGTATGAAGGTAACCCACCATTTGGCTGAGATGAGTTTGACTGTCACACTATCTGAGCTGAATCTGTTTATACATGTGAATTACACGGATTTCGGTTAACTTCTGGAAGTGACTGATGGTTTACTCATTCAAATTTCAAACGTCTGCCTTAGAAGGGAAATGATCTCATCGGTAGAAGAGTTTCCTCTGACACGATGAATATGCACTGACCTCAAAGTTGCTGAACTGTGGTCTTTTGACTTCCTTGGATTGTAGATACAGCCTGAATTTGACCCGTATTTCATAAAGATAAGATATACTACATAAATGCAGTCTACAGTATCATAAAATAATGTTATGAGTTATGAGCTCAAAGTCTGTAAAGTGTTTCAGCAGCCTTTCTTTAGACCTCATCAATCATTACAATTAAATGTGATGGTCAGCTTGTGATGTCAGCGGCTTTTTACCAAACTAATGTCTTCCGGCTGGCTTTGATCTCTCTTTTAGGTAACAAGTTGACGCTGGAAACCAGACCGTCTAAAGATGGGATCGACATCCGCCAAGAACTCCTGAAGTTTCATTCCACGTATTACTCCGCTAATCTCATGGGACTCTGTGTGTTAGGACGAGGTGAGATTTCACTCTCTGTAAATGTACAGCTCAAACAAACAATGCTCACGCTGCCTAAACAGCTCTCAATGAAATTCTCAGGTTTCAGGAGAGGAATAGACACTGCAAGTCACGAACACACTAACTACTTCAAATTTTATACACAAGTTTTCCATCATCAACAGCTGAAAAGGCTGAATAATTGAAGATACAATGCTGGTGCTATGGATGGAGGTAATGCTCCTTTGTTTCCTCCCTTTCTCTTCCATCTTTTCACAGAGTCACTTGATGAGTTGACTTCCATGGTGGTAAAGTTATTTGGGGAAGTGGAAAACAAGAACGTCCCTGTCCCAGAATTCCCTGAGCACCCCTTCCAGGAAGAACACCTCAGAGTGAGTCTTTTTTTTTTTTTACTCTTTTATCACAACCCATACCTGTAAGCGGTGTCATCTCTCAAAAAAATAACCCCAAAAAAAACGGGTGATGCCATTCTCTTTGCTTTGCAGCCAAATCTACAGATACCTCTGATTACGGCGTGAAAGCAGCCTCCAGTAATGTGCTCCTCCTCTGTTACAGCAATTCTACAAAGTGGTTCCCATCAAAGACATCAGGAACTTGTATGTGACTTTCCCCATCCCGGACCTACAGAAGTACTACAAATCCAACCCGGGCCACTATCTGGGGCACCTGATTGGTCACGAGGGACCGGGAAGTTTGCTGTCCGAGCTGAAATCCAAAGGTACCGGGGCACAACACTCCTCTGTGCGCGGCAGAGATTTTAAACTAGTGCATGAGTACGCAAGGAGAGCTGCACAATGAAAATTGCCTGTGGTGATCATCTTTAAGGCTGGGTGAACACGCTCGTTGGAGGACAAAAAGAAGGAGCCAAAGGGTTCATGTTCTTTATTATCAACGTGGACTTGACCGAGGAAGGCCTCTGTGAGTGTTACCCACGTTTTCCCCGCAGCTCTTCTGTGTTCCTGTATTTATTTTATTTTTGCAAAAAGAAAAGACAAATCCAGATGTGTGATCTGTCACCGCAGTGCACGTCGAGGACATCATCTTCCACATGTTCCAGTACATCCAGAAGCTGCGCACCGAAGGGCCTCAAGAATGGGTGTTTGAGGAGTGCAAAGTAAAGCTTTACTCATTCCTCCCAGTCTTTTGCGTGTGCCCACATAGCTTGTAGGAGCTCCCTCCCGATGGCATTAATCCTAAAAAATGCTCTGGGGTTGGCTGCTTTAGTGGATGAGTGTACCACACAGTGATCTGATGTGGTCAAGGGGCAGCACGCACTGTAAAAGGACCCCGCAGGTGGTAGGAACAAGTGAGAAGTTAAACTGGATCCACCCGCCGTCATCTATTTTTCTTCTTCTTTGGCTGTGGTCATTTATTTCCGACATGTTACACTGACGGGAAAGTTTATCTTCTCCTTTCCTGCATTATGATTTAAAAAAAAATGGTTACTTAACCCTAACCCTATAAGCATCTACATTTCACATAAACGACCGGAAGGGAACACTGGGCTGTGTTGTGCTGTGCTCTCTTTGTAGTCTGAAAAGGAGTTTGTTCTCAAAGTTGCTATGTGGACACAAAGCAGTACGTCAGCTCATTCTCAGTCTTTGAGCCGTTTGTGTATTGACTCCCCCTTTTTTCTTCTTCTTTTTTTTTTTTTTTTCTTTGCAGGATTTAAGTAAAGTAGCCTTCAGGTTTAAGGACAAGGAGAGACCCCGCGGCTACACCTCCAAAGTGGCAGGCTTATTACACGTAGGTTCTTCCCCCAAAGGTTGTTTCCATGGCGACGGAACGCGGCTCATTCTGTGCCTTCCCCTGCCGTCGCCGTCCTCCCACTGAAACCAGCCGTTACGATTTCAGAAATTGTCTGTGCGACTCTTAATACCTGACAGACCAAAAGCCCCCGATAGCTCCCACTCCACCGAGCTGGGCTGTAAAGTCCTCACATTACATTGCATGTTTTACCAGAATGAATACATCTGTGAACCCCCCCCAAAAAAAAAGCCTGTTAGCAGTTACTTAGCATTTTCTCGAGCACATAAAGGCATCTGCTAATCCTGTTCCATTCCGTATCTCCCGTGTGTGTTGTAGTACTACCCTCTGGAAGAAGTCCTAGCAGCAGAGTATCTTTTGGAGGACTTCAGACCCGATCTGATCGAGATGGTGCTTGACAAGCTGAGACCAGAAAACGTCAGGTCAGCGAAAATACTGAGGCTTTGATTAGAACAATGAAATCTGTGTCTGTTTATTCTCATGGCACCATGTGTTAAAGGAGCCTCTGCCTCTGAGCACATTCTTTTGTTTCAACACTGTGTGTCAGCATTTTTCTGTGAAGCTATCCTCACGAGAGTACCTTAAAAATCATTGAAAGAGCGTGTTGCTCTGAGACATTTGCATGATGTGGATGATCTTTATTCTTTAAGGGTGGCGGTGGTGTCAAAGTCCTTTGAGGGTCAGACAGACAGGACAGAGGAGTGGTATGGCACGCACTTCAAACAGGAGGCCATCTCCGAGGACACCATCAAGGTGAAGCCATCACATTGCCAACAGCTGTCGCACTCGCCGGCTTCTCTGCTCACCGACGAGTTTTACCTGTGCGTTCTAGAAATGGGCCAACGCCGACCTAAACGGCAAGTTCAAGTTACCGATGAAAAACGAGTTCATCCCAACCAACTTTGAGATCTACCCTCTGGAGAAGGACTCTCCTTCCGTTCCCACTTTAATCAAGGTAAGCGTCCCTCTTTCAAAATGGAAACTCCACGCCATACTCCCGTCTCTAAAATAATTCTGGGCCCACTCTCTCCCTCCAGGACACGGCGATGAGCAAGGTGTGGTTCAAGCAGGACGACAAGTTCTTTCTCCCCAAGGCATGCCTGAACTTTGAGTTCTTTAGGTAGGTAGCTTTATGATTAAGGGTTCTCTGCCAGAGGAAGTGAGGGGGACTAGTTTTTCTCAGGGTTAGAGAATAATACGGAGCATTTTAATGTAATCCTCCTCCAAAGTGCAATAATGAAGCTTAATTTTGCAGCTCCAGCAGTAAGTAGGAGGTTTTCTAAGAAAAATGTTCTCAGATGAATGGATAAAATGCAGATTTATATGTGAAAAAGAAAAAAAAACCCGGTCTTCTGTGTGACTTGTAATTTTCTCTACAGCCCATTTGCTTATGTGGACCCATTGCATTGTAACATGGCCTATTTGTACTTGGAGCTCCTCAAGGACTCCCTCAACGAGTATGCATATGCAGCCGAGCTAGCTGGCTTGAACTATGACCTCCAAAATACCGTCTATGGGATGTATGTAAGTATTAAGAAACCCACCCCCACCCACCCATACTGTCGCCCTCCCGCTGCTCCACAGACCTCTCGTCCCCTTCCCTAACTCATCCTCAGGTGGAGCGACTGCAGCTCAGCCAGACCTGGCTTTTTTCCCGCTTTTCTCCCCCTTTTTTTCTTTTTGTTCGGATGGTTTAAATATATTTTTCGTTATAATCTGAGTGTTGTAATTCCATCCGGTGAAGCTTGCCGCCCAGGTTTGGCTGCTCTGCGCTCTCCTCCATCTCCATCTCTATTCATCCCCATCCAGACTACCTCCTTGATTTATTTATTTTTTAAGATTCATCAAGCGCACCTCAGAAACGAAAAAGGCCGGTTTGAAATTTGGTCTTAGATCGAAAGTAGTTTTTTGTTTGTCAGTCGATGAGGGGGAAACAAAGCCGGTTGTGTGGCTGCATATACATACTCTTCTTATCATTCTCAGTGGGGGTCATTTTATTTATTTTATTTTGATTTTCCATTTCAAACCAACATGTTTTCAGTTGTGCTTTTTTTTTTTCTTCCTTCTTTTTTTTGTTTCTTGTTGTTTTTTTGTTCTTTCCCTCCTTCCATTAGCCGCTACCTTTACGCCGACCCCCTGCACTGCAACATGACCTACTTGTTGCTGAGGTTACTGAAGGATGATTTAAAAGAGTATACGTATGCAGCCCGCCTGGCCGGGCTTGTGTACGGCGTAGCCTCAGGGATGAATGCCATCCTCGTAAGTAAGCCGCTCGGAGCCGGGAGGGAGGCCTGGGCGCCACCGAGGGGGCGGGGTCGGCTCTCTGTTGTCTGCTCGGTTTGATTGTGTGGCGCTTGACGCCGCTCCCCCGACGGACACTAATGCCAGAGACCTCTGAAAGCGGCGCGCCGTCCACACTCACACGCTGAAATTTCACAACAAGGCCGTCTTGAATTAAGTGGGGGGTTTTTTTCTTCTCTGATTTAATCCGTCACATTTCTGAGGCCGGTGTGATGTCATTATTAGAACTGACTTTGTGTCTGGCTTCCTCCCCTTATCTCTTCCCCTTTTTAACTGGAGCAAATTTAAGCGGGGCCTTTTTATTCCCTCTTTCCTGGTATCAGAGGTCCAGCGGTCACACGCCCCTGGTCTAAAGGGAGAGGAGAGCCAAAGGGAGGAATCCGGAGCGGCCTGCTCTGACTGGGCCGTCTGGGTTTCTGTTGGTTCTGCGTGTTTGCGAGGGCGGTTTGCTGTGGCGTGTCCCTTCCCTTTTCTCTTCTTCCCTGTAATTTGCACCTTGGCGCTCTGCTCCCCTTTGTCCTGCCTGGCTGAGCTCTGCAGTGCATTAATGCCTCCCGTTGGAACGCGCTCCTCGGCCGGTTGCCACTCAAACCGGCAGCTGGCCCGTTCGTCCCGGTCAGCGATTCCAGGCGCCAAGCAGCAGCTTTTGCTGACTCGCCAAGGTTCTTTTTAAGGTGTTTGTCACACCGCAGAAGCTTCAAATGACCTTTTTTTTTTTTTTTACCCCTACCTTGGCTTTGCGGGAAAAAAGTGCACCGTCAGCCTCTTGGGGCCGTTTGGTATTCAGAGAGACGGAATGAAAACGGCTTATGGAACCTGCTTTTAAAGATTGTTTGAAGCTTCTTCGACCAGGTGTATGTCAACATGGAATATAAGATGCTCAGTGTTTGATAGGTGGAGGGTTAGTGGCTTGTCCTTGAGTCCCAGGTGGCTTTACTGGGACGCTCTGACTTTTTTTTTTTTCCCCGAGATGGATTAGACCCTGTTGCGACAATTTTTTTGTTCTGATCATTTTGTGTCATCATTTTTCTGACTCCCCTCTGGTGTTTCTGTGTGTGTGTGTGTGTTTGCCGCAGCTGTCGGTCAAAGGCTACAACGACAAACAGCACATTCTGCTGAAGAAGATCATCGAGAAGATGGCCACCTTCCAGATCGACGAGAAGCGCTTCGACATCATCAAAGAAGCGGTAAAGCGCCGCCCACTCCGCCCCGCCACAAAGCCTCTGCCTTTTCCAGAGCTCTGACGGCCCTCTTCTGTCTTTCCCCAAAGTACATGAGGTCTTTGAACAACTTCAGGGCCGAGCAGCCCCACCAGCACGCCATGTACTACCTCCGTCTGCTGATGACCGAAGTGGCCTGGACCAAAGATGAGCTCAAAGAGGCCCTGGATGGTGAGACGGGGCCCTAAGGGTCTTACTGTTTTTTCTGTCCTGTCTTAGAGCACCTCCACTTGAGGCTGTAAAACGGATAAGAAATGTCACAGGAACTCCGCTCAGAGGATCTCTCGGCCTGTTCCGTCCTGAACACGGGGCCTTCCTTCAAGGCGTCCCGGTCAGCTCCTTTACTGGCGACCTCCAGGCACCGCCGCTTTCTCCCCCGTGGTGTTCTCGTCCTCTTCGGGGTCTCTGAGACATAATCCGTTTGTTTCGGTCTCAACGCCAAGCTCCATTTACATAAGAGCGCGCGCGCTCCTTTTTGCAGCTCATCCCTGAATCTGGGTCACACGTTGCTTGAATTCCGATTGGCAAGCCGACACAGAGGACGATAGCTTGATAGGGCTTTTTTGTGTGTTAGTTTTTTTTTGTGGTTCACAGCTGCTGAACATGTAGCCACTGCATTCACGTGTAATATAAGAACAATGTAATGACACATTAATTGATTCTCCCTGTCTGTTGTCTCTGTGCCAGATGTAACTCTCCATCGCCTCAAGGCTTTCATACCTCAGCTTTTGTCGCGGTTGCATATCGAAGCCCTCCTCCACGGCAACATCCCCAAAGAGGTTTGTTCACGTGATGCGAAAAGATCACTTCTGTTCAAACAGTTTGTCCGAGCCTTCTTCTTTTTAACCAGGACAGCGTCACAGCAAGATGGTGACGGAACTGCGTCCATTTGAATGGTGTGGTAGCACAGAGCAGCTTCTGTAGCAGCACAGTGAGGCCACCTAGAGAGTGGTTGTGTTCATATTTAAGAAATGATGAAAATATTATAATAAATAAATAGTAATGATACCAAAAAGAAAGCAGATTACAGTTAGTCCAAGCAAACTCCATGTAAACCACCAGAGCCCATGCCAGCTAATTACCTGTTAACCCTAGCCCTGTAATTAAACCAAAAAGAAAGCATCTTGACATCAGGCATTCTTCTACCCCCAAAGGTTTTACTCTCGGTATTCCACGCGCGTCATTGAACGCACTCAATCTAAAGTTGTTTTCCGAGGTTAAGATTCATTAGATTTTTTTCCTTCTCCCCAGTCCGCTCTTGGCATGATGCAGATGGTGGAGGACACGCTGATCGAGCACGCCCACACCAAGCCCCTTCTGCCCAGCCAGCTGATTCGCTACAGAGAGGTGCAGGTCCCAGACGGTGAGGCCCCGCTACAGGCATCGCTGTTTTACGGGTTCTTAAGGACCGGCGGGGGCATTAAAGGAGCCACTCAGCCGGCCTCTGTCTGAACTGTAGCTTTTATCTTTACACCATCTGACTCCCAAACAGCTATATCCTCCTGAGACCCAAAGAAAAAAAGTGTCTTCAAATTTCTTTTTTGTCGTGATTTTCCATGTATTTGGACCTAAAAAAGAACATTACAATTTCAATTAAAAAAAAATATATTTTTAATTTTAATTTCATAGCATGTCCACTGTGGAGGACAACAGGACGATTTGCATGGGAAAATAGAACAGGCTTTAGATAATTAAATAATAAAAAAGAAGATGTCTTGAAAGGGATATTTACCTAAGAACTCTTAGGAAAAAAGTCAAGTTCCCAGCATGCAAACCTATTACATGGCACATCACTGGAAAGCCCAGGATGTCCTCTACAGAACACTATAGGGCTTGATAGGGTAACTCCAGATACTTAGGGGGGGTACAGGTGGACCAAATGTCCACCATAATGGACATAAATGAATGGGCCGGGTCTCAGGAGGATATATCCTAAAAGTGTCTCCCTTTAGTTCAGGGAGCCTAAAAATAAAATCCATCTCCGATTATCTTCCAGGCGGCTGGTACGTCTACCAGCAGAGGAACGAGGTCCACAACAACTGTGGCATAGAGATCTACTACCAGACGGACATGCAGACCACCCACGACAACATGCTGCTGGAGCTGTTCTGCCAGATCATCTCGGAGCCCTGCTTCAACACGCTGAGGACCAAAGAGCAGCTGGGTGGGCCTCTCACCACGCTGGCGCTGAGCTCCGAGCAGGCGCTTTCTTTCTTTTCCTTCTTTTGAACCACATCTTTCTCTTTCCGGCCGCCGCCCTCAGGCTACATCGTGTTCAGCGGGCCGCGGCGGGCCAACGGCGTGCAGGGCCTGCGCTTCATCATCCAGTCGGAGAAGGCGCCGCACTACCTGGAGAGCCGCGTGGAGGCCTTCCTCAGCACCATGCAGAAGGCGGTGGAGGAGATGAGCGAGGAGGCCTTCCAGAAACACATCCAGGCCCTGGCCATCCGCCGCCTGGACAAACCCAAGAAGCTGTCGGCCGAGTGCGCCAAGTACTGGGGGGAGATCATCTCCCAGCAGTACAACTTCGACCGAGGTGAGCCCCCCTCCTACCGGCCGGTGAACGCTTTCGGCTGAGGCCCGGTGGTCACGACGCGGCCATCTCACGCTTTCGGCTTTTGTGTCGCAGATGGCATCGAAGTGTCCCACCTGAAGACGCTGACTAAAGAGAACATAATGCACTTCTACGGGGTGAGTAGCCATGTCTGTCACAGGGTTAGTGGGGCGAAATGAAAACGTAGGCGTGCAGACGTCCACCTCCCGCTTACATTCGCCGTGATTAAGCAGTGGAAAAAGATAAAAGAATCCAGCCACAGCTAAAGAGTGCGCTTGTTTCCCCCCCCCCCAGGAGCGGCTGACCGTCGAGGCCCCGAAGCGACACAAGGTGTCGGTGCACGTCCTGTCCCGAGAGATGGATTCCTGTGAGTACAGCCCCCCACACACACACACACACACACACACACACCCACACCCACGTTCAGGCTCTGACCCGCCCGTGTCTGTGTTCATGGTCAGGTCCCATCGTGGGAGAGTTCCCGGCTCAGAATGACATCAACCTGGCCCCCGCGCCCTCCCTGCCTCAGGTAAGCGCCGCTCCCCAGAGCGCCTCTTCAAACGCCAACGCCCCCCCCCCCCCCCCCCCCCCCCCCCCCCCCCCCCCCCCCAGCCGACGCTGGTCCAGGACATGACGGAGTTCAAGAGGAGCCTGCCCCTGTTCCCGCTGGCCAAGCCGCACATCAACTTCATGGCCGCCAAACTGTGAGCCGGGACGCCACCCTCCCCCTCATTTCCCTCCTCCACCCATCAGGAAGACGCTCATCTGACTGAGCCGGCGTGTGTGTGTGTGCGTGTGTGTGTGTGTGTGTGTGTTGGTGTGGGTGCATGCCACCGTGTGGACGGGTCGCAGCAACTAGGAGATGCTGGGAAACAGAAAAAGAGTCACAAAGTTAGCTCGCAGAGGGGAGGTTGGCGGTAGCCATAGAAACGCCCAACTCCCCCCCACGTCCGAGCCTCTCAGAGGAGAACGCGTCCCAGTCGTGCGTCTCTGTCGTAGAGGAAGTAGAACCTTTTAAAAAAAAAAAAGAAAAAAAAAGCAAACCTAACCAGATTCATCAGACGCTGCTGCTTTGACGGGCGGGCCTTTAGGCCCCGCCCCCTTTGGGGTTGTGGACGGCTCAGAGAGGCCCGGCAGAAAAACCGCTCTGCCGGAAGGTTTTAATCAGCATCTCCGTAGCCTTAAGCCCCGCTCGTTCGGAAACCTTTTTTGTTTGTTTTTTTGCCAGTCGGCTGATAAATTTTTGGGACACTTCGAGAAGCTGTTTTATTTGTCGTTGTTTTTTTTGTTTTAGTTCTTTTAAATATGTCACCACACAATTGTGCTCATAAGGAACTTTTATAGAGTTTTACAGTAGTCCAAGCAGCTCAGGGGTAACTCCATGCTGTTTTTGTTTTGTTTTTTTAATTCATTTTATTCTAAAAAAAATAATAAATCACTCTACATTAATCCATGCTGTTGTTTTTCATCACTCTCCGGATACGATCAGATGCTTTTGTTTCTTCGCTGAATTCGGGCCGCCCACCTGGAAATGGCAGGATTGGATTGGGTTGGTCAAACTGGGCTGGATGTGCACTGCCTCTTTTTAGCTTAAACGTCAAGATGAGGGGGAAAAAATAAAAAAAGCGGCATTTTGGTGATGTCAAAAAGAGTTTTACACCTCTTCTATATCTATCTATATATGCATATGCACTTGTGTCGTTGAGCAATACAGCAGGGTGAGGCGGGACGGGTGGAGTCTCCACAGCTAAGAACGTACAAACTGAAGCTCCACCCCTCTTCTTCACTGCTCAAACAGGTGTAGTAAAGTAGGGCGCACCGGCTTCAACGTGTTCCTTCGTTTTTTTGCTGCATCATTTCAGTTTTTGGCGTTCCTGAGCAGGTGGAGCGTCGTTATCTCCTCAGAAAACTTGGAAAACGGTTTAAAACTCTTTTCAATTCAATTTCTGAATGTTTTCACAGCTGTTTGGGTTTCACAGGCCGGCGAGAGGTGCTGAAATGTGTTTTTTTTGTTTTTTAAAGTTTGCGTCTCTTTTGTGTTTTCTGATTAATAAACTGGATTTGAATCGTTTGTGTGCCTGTGAGTGTTTGGATGCCCATTTCTTTGAGTTGAGCGTGCCGGCGTCCTGGGGGAAGCAGGAAGTAGTGGTAGGCTGCAGGTAAATGCGATAAAAGCCTTTTGCACAGAGGAGACGCCACGCTGGGTTCAAAACACGTTTACTCCCCGCTTTCCCCTCACATTACAAGCTGCAGCATCACACTTGCCAGGGTCTGAGGTTTCCAAACATGTTTAACAAAGAATCCAAAAAGAAAATACGCGTCACTTCATTGTGTTACGGATGATACTGATCCACATTTATACACAGTTTAAATTATCATTCTCCCAATGGAAAAACAAACAGTTTCCTCAGAATTTCGAGTGTCGCTAGCTTGTTTGGGGTGAACCGAGTTAATCCCACCCCTCCTCCCTCAAAAAAACATATCAACTGCTCCACTGAGTGCATTTCAAAAGCCATTTGGTTATTTATTTCTTTTATACAAAGGTTGGGAGCAGATGCTGAGCTGTGGCTCATACTCCTGCTATCGCAGAGAAAAAAGGGAGGAGGGGAAACTAAAAAAAAAAGTGTTAACTTTAGGGAAGTCTTCTTAATTCCCGGTGAAAAGTGCTGAGTCATGCTGTGCGATATCTGCTTCCCACTTGATCAAAACAACAAAGAAAGCAATGCGACTTTTCCCCTCGGGGGGCGGGCCCGG